TTATGGATGAATACATATAGCTTTCTGGAATAGTCATCTACGATGGATAGAAAATACCTTGCACCTGAGTGTGAAGGATTCTTTGCAGGCCCTCAAAGATCAGAATGAATGTAATCCTGAGATCTATGTGTTGTTTGCTTGCCTTTGTTAAACTTCGCCCTACAGGATTTACCAAATACACAAGATTCCCAAAAATCCAACTTTTCAACTTTGTTACCTCCTAGCAGGTTCTGCTTCCCTAATTCTACCAGGTCTCTTTCGCTGACATGGCCCAATCTTATGTTCCATAATTCTTTCTTCGACATAGGTTTCATGGATGCAACATTTTCCGAATCACTTACAACCTCAGCCTCAAGGGTATACAAGCCTTGTTTCTTCACACCTCTCAAGACTTCCTTCGACCCCTTCATGACTCTTAGGATACTTTTCTCTCCTTAGAAAATGTATCCCTTTATGTCGAATTCACCAAGAGAAATCAAATTTCTCTTCAAGTCAGGTACATACCTGACTTTAGTCAATAACCTTATTGACTCATCATGGAGCTTGAATCTCACAGATCCAATACCTGCAATTTTGCAAGATTTTTTGTTTCCCAGCAGCACCAATCCACCATCTTGATCATATAGCTCATCGAACAATTCTCTGTTTGGAGTCATGTGCCAAGTGCAACCTGAATCCATAATCAAATCTTTTCTTGAGTCGCCACTTGAAACCACAAGAACATTAGATGAGTTGAAGTCATCTTGAACAATGGCTGTGTTGTCATTACCTCCATGGTCTTTCAGGCATTCAGGGCACACCTTTCTTGTGTGACCCTCCTTCTTACAGTGATAACATCGAATACCAGATGTTTTGCTATTATAATACTTCTGTTGACTTTTACCTTTCTTCTTGTCGAACTTACCATCCTTTCGCAAGAATTTTCTCTTAACGGCCAAACCTTCGCCCACCGTCGAAGGTTTATGCTCCTTTCGTTCGTTCAAGTCCTTAGAATACAAGGCTCATTGAACTTCTTCAAAGCTCAGGGACTCCCTTCCATATAAGAGAGTTTCTTTAAAGTGGGCATGTATTCTAGGCAAAGCACACAACAATAACAGTGCTTGATCTTCATCATCGATCTTCACATCAATATTTTCAAGATCAAGAATCAGCTTATTGAATATATCTAACTGCTCAGCCAACACTTTGTCTTCACTCATCTTGAATAAATACAAAGCTTGCTTCAGGTAGAGTCGATTCACCAGGGATTTGGTCATGTACAAACTTTCAAGTTTCACCCATAACCCCGATGTTGTAGTCTCCTTTGATACATGTCGTAGAACCTTGTCACCAAGGCTTAACAATATTGTGTTGTGGGATTTCTCAATCATGCTCGTATTTTCTTTTGTTGTTAACGCAACTTCCATGGCTGCCTCTCCCTTCAATGCTTTCAAACAAACCTACTGAACCAGTAGGGCCTTCATCTTCAAGCGCCACAAGGGTTACTGTTAACAAAGAAAACAAGGTAAAACAACAAGGAATAACAAGGATTGGTTATAAACAGTTATTCTTTCCTTTCTCTTGGAACAAGAGTACAAGTATACAAGAATAACAAAATAACCTTTGTCTCTTGAAATTAGGATTTTATCTTCCTATTTTTCCTTATGCCAAGATGAGAGACTATCATCCTATTTATAAGAAAAATAGCGCACTAACCTAATGAGCTTTTTAACAATTACCCATTACAAGCTAACTTAAGGTACAAGCTAACTTAAACCATTGAACTTACAAGCAAGACCCAATTCAACATGCTAACAAACCTAGCAATATTGACTAATGCATGTTAGAACAAACTTTGACTACAACACGCATTACTTCGTCAGCAACATGTGAACCGACTTTGACTTCATGCTTAATCCCTCTCGAACCAAAAGCCACTCTTCGATCATACTAGAGTTCGATCCAATATCTCACAAATAATATAAACAACATATACATATATTCATATACTAAATAATATAAACAACATATATAAACAACATATACATACTAAATAATATAAACAACAAAAACATATTATTATTGTTTTTTTCAAATACAACATATATGAATATCAAATACACCTAAAATCTTGAAAAAGAAAAATATATGTGTACCTTTTGATATCCATTTAAATTTGAAGCTCACTTTTGATGAAAGTTAACACCTTTATATGAATAAATGGTATACATGCAACACACAAAATAAAATAAAAATTAGTAAAACCAAATTACAAATTCAAAGAAGTTATAGTAAAACAATAATATTTACCTAATTTTAGCTTGGTAGAATATTTAAAAGAAGAAGAAATGTATCTTTGATAGAAGTTGTTTTAATGAAAAACGAGAGAAGGAGAAGGGTGGAAGAAAAATGAGAGATAATGTGTCTAGGAAAGAAGAATAAACCTAAATTTATGGTACGTAACTAGTGAGGGGCTACCTCACGCAGTCAAATAGGATAACATTTGCGAGAGAGTGCCCTAGCTAATATTGACATGTTGCAGACACATTTTCTATCATGTTGTAGGTTTTGACAGCAGAAATAAATATTTTTTATGACAAATTTGACTTTATAATTACAACTGGTGAGGGGTAGCCCCTAGCTAAGTGCACAGATAAAATTGGTGAAGGGTTATCCCCTCGCAAATGACAATCTTTGTCAGTCCATTTTAGTGCTCTTTCCTTTTTGCGAGGAGTGACCCTAACAACTCCAATTTCAAAATTCAAAAAAAAATTCTCCCATATTTGCGAGGGGCACCCCACATTTTTTTATTTAAATATTATTTTTTGTATATTTTGTGCATTGCGAGGGATTTAACCCTAAACAACTTTATTTTTTTTACAGAGGGGGTTTACCCCTAACAAACGCCCCTAACTCATAATAGTTTTTTTAATAGTGTCTATTCACCTTCTCTAAACCCTAACATACTCATATTCTCGTCCAACAAAATATAAGAGAATAAATTCTACGAGTCTTACCCAAATAACAAAAACTACAAATATGCAGTGTAGCTTTATTATTAACTTTGATATTAAACAAATGAAATATATGCCTAATAAGTTGAAAATTTACATGTTCTAGTCTATAGTTTCATAATGAAAGTTTGTTATAAAAAGTACGTACAACCTTTTAGAGCATACCTATAATTATGATTACAATTATTAGAAGCAAGAGAAACTAACCCGTTAGGCTTTTACTAAGCCATTTGAATATTAGGAAAGAAATACAAGTCATTATCATCAAGAAATCCTTCAAGGACAACCTGATTAGAAACCTTAGATTTCACATAACACTTGTTAGCAAAAAAAAAACTAAAAAAATGTCATAATTATATTTGGAAATTTTCAAAATAGATAAGAAGTTTCTAGTTATGCCAGGGAACATGAAGAATATGTTTTAGAATCAACTTAGTGGTAGGCGTAGAATGAGAATCAAAACAAGATGAACCAATAGACTTAACAGAGCATTGTAGCATGGAATAATGCTTAGTATACACATGTGAATTTATTGTGGCCATCATGGCAGTTAGAGCATTGTAGCTTGCAGGTGCATCAGACACGTCAACCTTGGTTTAACTTACATTCACATGCGCCTTTTCACGAACACCTTATGTGTTTGGTGCAGGTACAAAATATTCATCATACCTATGCTGAAATTCAGGCACAACACGCCCATATTTTCCACAAATTTGAAATATCGGCCTATTGGTTGAGTTGCCTCCTCTAGAGCGACCACGACACCTATGCCAAGATTTTCTTCCTCAACCACTTACACTATGATCTCCATGACCAGAAACATGTTCATGTAGAGCTAAATTGAAATGTTGGAGACATAAAGTTCTTTCCTAAATTTGTCAACTTGAGCTTTCTGAACATATATCAGCTAGTTTTATTACTACTGTGCCACTATCTAAAAATAAAAATATTAAAATGTCACTATTTAAAAAAATATTCAAAATGCCACCTTTTTTAGTTTGGTTTCGTCCTTCTAATAGACGATCAATTAAAGAAAAAAAAGGTAGTTGAAGTTTGGCCAATGGATGGCCGACCCTATGCTACGAATTTTATATATTAATATTTTTATATTATATATTTCTTTTTAAAATAATAACAAAACAAAAACAAAAATAAAAAATTAGTAACATAGAGTTGGTCATTCATTGGCCGAACCCCAATTAGCTTTTTTCTTCTTCAATGGATCGTCCATTTGGAAGGACGAACCCAAACTAAAAATGTGGCATTTTGGACTTTTTTTTTTCAAGTAATGACATTTTTGGGTCGTCCATTTAGAAGGACGAACCCAAACTAAAAATGTGGCATTTTAGACTTTTTTTTTCAAGTAATGGCATTTTTGTGTTTTTATTTTTAGATAGTGGCAGGGCAGTAAAAAACTCTATATCAACGATTTGAATAGTTGTTTTTAAATATTATTTTAAATATTTCATCATTTTACTATAACTTATTTTGGATATTTAAATTTTACAAAATCACTTAAATTTGAAACTATTTCAAATAACATTTATAAAAATTATTATTGAAATATATTTATCTAAAAACAGTATAATTTTGACTGTATTTTAATTTTCAATAATATATATCTACGTTATTTGACATTAAAATTAGTCTTTTTATTTATAAAAAAATTGAGTTAAAATAACTTTTAATATTTTTAAAATTATTATTATAAAAACCATTTTTAAAAATATAAAATAAGTCTTTTTTTTTAAAGGTAAAATAAACATGTCCAAGGTAAAACCAAAATAGCAATAAATTGTGGATGAGGTCTAGTAGTACTAATGGATTTGATATTGAAACAAACATTATATTTGTCTAATAAGGACAAAGTTACAACATCATACAATAAAACACATATCTTTAATTTATTACAAATATTATGGTAGTAATAGTCACCTTTATTTTAGTATTGGTTCTTTTTGAGAGACTCATATAACACAGAGATAAAACGTGAACAAGTATTAATAATTAGTTTATCATAGTAACTTCTGCTTTATTGATTATCAAGCCACCTTTCCATTTTCCACTCCAAACTTCATACAATCCAAAATGAAGTTCCGGGTCATTTTCTAGTTCTCCAACAGTAATTTCAAGCCTGCCATCATCTTTAGGAATTGCCTGTTTACTACCACAAGCTAACTTGACTTCCTTATAGGTATATGATCCCCTTTTCCCAAGTTTAGCCATGACAAGTACTGGTGTGTTTTCCCAACCGAAACCGTTTTGCTTAACCTCCACATCAAATTTCACCGAATAAGTTTTCCCTCTTTTTACAGTTACTTTACCAGATACCTCCAACCATGAAACTTGTATCAGTTCTGCAAACTCCTCTCTGAAAATTAACAATAATAATAATACATATCAAAATAAGTTACATATCTGATGTCTCTGCACAGCTATCAACAGATAACTTTCATTCTATAAATATATATACAAGTTAACTCACTGTGTTTTCCAGTAGCGAAGGTCATTTCCCCAAATAATGTTGAGTCCTTTCGGCTTAATCTCGATCTTGCTACCCTGGACACATATATACATAAATATATTTATCATAATTTTCATAAACATATAGTTTTTGCAAGAAATATAATTTAATTGGTAACAGAAAATGTATAGTTACCTTGTCATCAATATACCTAGGGTCTGCTGTCTGATGTGGCTTTCTGAAAGGCATTCTTAGAAATCCGAAAATGAAAAGCTGTTTTTTGTTCTTCTGATGAGATCTTCTTCTCTTTTGGTGTGCTTTATCTCAACGCAAGCTCCTATATATAGAACAAGGAAGAGAAATATAGATTATATAGACAAGTAAAAAAGAATATAGTTGTTTATGATGATAAGAAGGAAGGGAAAGCATAATACAAGTTGAGCACAAAAGGAATCAATTAACCGACGAGCTTTTATAAAGATATTCCATTCTTTTTACCACCGCGTGAATTAATACCTTACAATATGAGTCCATAAATAAATACAGAATCCACTTGTCAAAATCTAAATACAGAATCTACTCAAGAGACAATACAATGAGCGTAAGTAATGGTTGTGATTGTAAACAAAAATGCCCTGCATTTTCCTTCCAGAAACTCTTTTTTCAATTTATTTCTCAAATCCACTAACTCTTTGTAACAGACGTAAGATGGCCAAGTGCGCTTTTACTACTTAGGAGAGAATCACGAATCATTCACACGTTATACTTATGAAGATTAGATTAGTATAATAAATAATATATTTTAGGATAAAACTTTAACTTATTCAAAAGAAATTTGATAAGTAAAAATAAGTATGTCACACTTCATTTAAAAAAATAATACTATCTATTTTCTTCGGTTGTGCTAGCAATCGAGGCAAAAAATTATGATCAACCTCTCTTAGAATTTCTAACAATGGCATGACCTATTCTCTCATTTGAGCTTGCAATAGAAGGAAAAAGTTTTGACCAAATCCTTTTGAATTTTAACAACTATATTTTAGTGTGTATTTTTTTTTTAATTTCTTATTTAATACATATTCCCTTGATTGAGTTGACATCTTAGAGGAAAACTATTTTTTATAACTAATGAATTTTTACCGGCCATTTATAAAAATAACAAAAATCAATACATTTTCACTCATCAATCTATATGAAATCATCGTCTATCCGCATGGAATCCACACAAATCAATTAGAAATGTAATATCATAACAATTTATCTTGAAATGCAGAGATTTAGAATGCTAAAATACAAACACTGATACTTAAAACATTGCATGAAGTACAAACTATTCCCTAGAATGGATTTCAGAATAAATAAATGTCTCAAGGTTGGTTCTTGAATGTATCTTTTCTTATAATTGGTAAAGTTATTTTCTTAATTGGATACTTCTTAAAAATGTTAGTTATTAGTCAGGAAAATATGGATGTAACTTAAGAAGTTTAGTTATTATTATTGTTGTTGTTAGAATCTTAAAACTCAAGAGAACAACTACATTCATGTTTTTTTTAACAACATTAAACATTTTTTACAAACATGTATTGAAGAAAATAATTTTATAAATTACAAAAGAAGAGATTACATTGAGGAACCAACCTTGAACAAAATGTTTCTCTGTTCTTGCAATCCATCTTACAGAATGACTTTGTACTTGTTGATTTAACATTGATAGATAAATCAACCAAGGTGAAAAGTTGAGGATTTCACCTTGATGAAAAAACCAACTGAGAAGAAGAAAAAGTAGGAAGAGGAGGAGGAGAAGAAGAAGAATTATTGGTCTCCCTGCTAAGGAGGATCATTGACTCGCTGCTCAAAATTTAAAAATGAAACAAAACTTTTTCCGTGGTGGAAAATTTAAAAGTATAAAAATTTTGTTGTGAAGTTTATTTCCTTTCACTCGAAACAAAGGCTCATGATACCATTGTTGGGGAAGATTTTCACTAGAGAGCATTGAACATTGTGGGACGTTCTTTTTTTATAGCAACGCCTTTGTGAGAGACACAACACATACTCACCAAAAACCTTAAGGTGGTAGGTGTATGAATTCTTCAACTTATAAATGCTCAAGTCTCCATATTTCTAGTCAATGTAAAACTATTACACATACTACTCACACTTGTTATACTTAACAAGAATTACATCACAACGTATTTTAAATTAGTATCATGAAAACCACTTCACAAAGTTAAGACGGTTCTGACACGCTGGAAGCTAGTGGAAAGAGAATCACGTTGTAGTGTATTTTAAATTGGTGACATGAGAATCGCGTCGCAACAGTCAACTATCACTTTAATTGCGACGTGGTTTTCCCAACATTGAATTATCTATTTATTAGACAACTTGCAGCACCCCCACACGCCTAAGACTCTAATTTTCTCAATTTTCTGTCTTCCTCCCTCTCTTTTTTGTCTTTCTCCGTCTCTATTTCTTCTTTCATCTTTTATAACTTTCTAACGATTTTGCAACTCTAATGTAAGTTTTGTTATGAATTTGTTTACCAATGAAAGCTTCCTTATTAAATTTCGTTAATTTAATTTTTCTCTTGTGTCAAGATTTAAAAGCACCAAGACTCAAGATTTATTTGAAAAGTTCATCAACATCAAGTCTTCAAATTTTCTTCAACTTCACTAACAATTATGTTAATTTTTATTTTCATATAACAATATATATGATTTGGGATGCTATACAATATTTTTTGTTGTAAATTTGTTTGTTTTTATATATTTGTAATTTTTAGTGGGCGGTTTAAATATATATATATATATATATATTATATATATATATATATATATATATATATATATATATATATATATATATATATATATATATATATATATATATATATATATATATATATATATATATATATATATATATATATATATATATATATATATATATATATATATATATATATATATATCGCTTAAATAGTATTTTCGTCCCTGTAAGTTAGCGAATTTTTGGTTTTCGTCCCTGAATCTTTTTTTTTGTCCAAATTCCCATATGTCCATTTCTCTTTGGCGTTAGTCCTTGCTGTGAGTGAACCGTTAAAAAAACGTTGAGGTGGCAAACAGTGATGAATTGGCTTATGTTTTAGAATTTGTTTTATTATTTTCTTTAACACACGTGGATATATTGTTCCTCCCTCCCAAAATATGTCATCAAAACTCATTTCCCTCTTTTCTATTTAGCCTTTGTAAATTAGGGTTTCATATTTAGAAAGCATTTCAGTTCAGTCAGAGCTCAGGGAAGGTGAAGGCGACTGGTACGAGCGCTTGTCTGAGTGAGGCGACTAAGGGTGGCGAAGCTACGATCGTGATTGAGCGACCTAATCGAATCTTCTAGGTAATGACATTTACGGTGAACAGTCATTACGAGGGAATGTTTGTTATGAATAGTGTCGTGTATACTTAGGTGGGGATAAACATGCAGTAGACATTGACCCTGATAGATGAAGCTTCTTTGAAGCAACTGGTATTGTGAAAGAAATTTGCAACCTCGAGTTCACTGATTATTGTCTATAGTGCTATAACATTATATCGGGTAAACATGCAAGGATAGTTAGTGATATTGATGCTGCCGAGGTTTATGAAAAAGTTGTAGTGTGGATTTATTTGTTGAGCATAAAGTAGTTGTAGCTGATAATGTCGTTAATGATGATGTTAATGTTAATGATAATACTGATAATGGTATTGCTGATAATGTTGATGATATTGAAGTTGATAATGTTATTGAGGATGATGTTAATGATAATGCTAATAATGGTATTGCTGATAATGTTGATGATATTGAAGCTGGTAATGTTATTGAGGATGATGTTAATGATAATGGTGGAAATGGTATTGCTGATAATGTTAATGATATTGAAGTTGATAATGTTATTGAGGATGATGTTCATGATAATGTTGGAAATGTCAATGTTGGTGGTGATGCTGGCAATCTAAATGTTGATGAATCTGCCAAGGTTGATGAGAATCTTGATGGTGTTGAAGGAGATGATAATGATGATAGTGATTATAATGGTTTATCATTTGAGGATAGTAAGGATGAAAGGGCCCTTGGCATGGATGGTGGATTTAATGTTGTTGACAAACCACTTAGAAGGGTTAAGCAGATAGCAAAGAAACACCAGACTACTCCAATAAAGATAAGAAATGTTGATGTCATTGGGGGTTCATAAAGTGGGGTTAATGTTGGTAATGAAGGGCTTGAAACTAATTATTTAAGTGATAATCTAGGCAGTAGTGATCCTGATGCATCAGATGAATAGAAAGGACCAAAATATCCTAGGTTTAAGATAGAGGAGTTAGACAAGGACTACAAGTTCAAAGTTGGTTTGGAGTTTGTATCTCTGCATGAACTTAAAGAGGCAATAATTGAATGGTCAGTATTAAATGGAAGAATGATAAAGTATGTGAAAAAAGACAAGGTTAGAGTGACAATAGTTTGCAAGGGCAATTGTGGGTTTTTGGCTCTTGTTAGTAAAGTGGGGAATAAGCGCACGTATAGAATGAAGAAATGGTTTGGTGCTCACACGTATGGTAGGGTTTTGAATAACGCCACTGCCAACTCCAAGTGGATTGTGAAGACTATGGTGGTTAGGATGGCTTCATCTGATGGAATCAAGCTTCGTGATATTGTCTCTGAGATTAAGAGTACTTACTCTGTAGGTATAACTATGAACAGGGCATGAAAGGCTAAGCAAATTGTAAAAGCTTGGTTGAAGGTGATGCAACCAAGAAATATACACTATTGTGGAGGTATTCTGCAGAATTAAGGAGGGTCAATGCAGGGAACACCTACAAAACTAATGTCACGAGGGTTGGTCCCACAATTCAACCCAGATTTGGCTGCTTTTATTTTTGCTTTGATGGAGTAAAGAAAGGATCACTACTGCTTGCAGACCATTCATTGGTGTTGATGGATGTCACCTCAAGACAAAATATGGAGGCACCTTTCTTGTTGTTGTTGTAAGGGACCCTAACGACCAATATTACCCCTTGGCTTTTGGTGTATGTGAGACTGAGACAAAGGAGTCATGGAGGCGATTTCTGACCTTGCTTTTGGAAGACATTGGACAAGACAAAAGATGGGTATTCATATCAGACCAACAAAAGGTACTTTTCATATCTATATATTTTTTTAAACTCATCCCTAAGTTATGTAATTGTGTTTTAGTTTGGTCCCCAAATATGTGAATT